AGACAGTGTACACTGATACATGTGGAGAGGGAGGGGGGAGGAACCACTATTTTCTCATTGTGAGAACAATCATGAATCTTTAAGTACTCTGAGGATGGAAATTTGCAAAATTCTAGCTGCAAGGATAGTGAAATTCAAATGCTTTGGTGGTAATGATCTCAAAAGTGTTAGTCATGATTTTCCTTTCCTCCAATACTGACCTTCCATCCGAAATACATCTAACCCAGCAGAGAAAAAGATAGCTGCCTATAAACTCTGTCCTAAATAAAAGAATATGGTAGTGTGGATGAGGGTGATGATGAAAATATCAATAAGCATCAAGTTATGAGCCAGTACTGAGGAAGCTCTACAAGACACCATCTGAGTTATATGTTCTCTGTAAACAGTTCAATTCAATCTGCACAACATTTTCAAGCATGATCCCTGATATTATTATTATTTCACTGAGTAAAGAGGCACAACATTTTTATATAATTAATTGCAGATTGTTCTTGTGTAGAAAGAAGCAATGAGGTCTTTTAATTGGACTGCCTGACATCTGGCCTAGAGAATATGTGATATTGTCTCATACAACCCAAGCACACATTTCACTTCTGTGCCTCTTTTCTCACTTTACACTTCCACCTGAGGAGTTTTTGCTGGAGGAAAATAACAAGATGTGGGTGTTAACTGGTGCAGCCATTATTGTAAAAGGGCTGTGATTATAGGAAAATTACAGAAGAGAAGCCTTACAAGCCAGCACAGACTTGTCCCTTTGTTCCACTCTAGGGGATTCTTGCAGCTTTCTGCATCCCTTGCCTTTAATGTATCCAGCACTCTTAATCTCAGGAGGAGTCTTAATGTTAGGTATACAATCCATTGCTACTTAGGGATGTGGTAATAATTTAAAAATTACCCTGAGTTGCACCTAGGCGTAAAATGTCTGTAACTCTGCATAAAATTCCTGGAGTTTAGAAATCAATAAAAGGAGTAGTGCACATTGCCTAGGTACTTACAGTTTAATTTAAAATCCTGCTGGCCCAAATTTTATTTCTGTAAAAAGGGTGGTTTGTTAGTATATTTTCATCTGAGATGATTTGAAGTTAAGATACCTGTCCTGAGTAAGGAGTAAACTGATACTTGAAGCTTAATGAATAAATATGTGATACTTTATAGAATAAGCTTAAATAAGACTATAATAGTTTTATTATTAGCTTTGGCAAGGCTAATCTTGTTATTACAGAAAAAATTCTATAAATTTACTGTTTTCCTATTTTTGTGACAGTTTTTTCTTGTCATTAAATTATGAGAAATTATTCAATGAGTTTCTTCAACGTAATCAATGATTTTCAAATGAAAACATAAGTTGCATGGGCACTGATGGTGAAGAGGGATGGTAAGTAGAATATACAATAATGATGAAAAGCCCCCAGGCATTTAATGTTATATAGAAATAGATACTAATGATGAGCCATCCAATTCAATTTAATTTTTAGAAAATGTAGTCAAGCTCTAACATATTACTTATGAACATTTTACCAAGGGGAAAATGACTCATTGTATAAAAATAAGAGAATCTTCTGAAATTCATTTAATAACATTGATATTTTGTTTAAAGCATAAAAGGTATCTCTTATTCTCCAATTTTCTGAAAATGATGAGCAGTATTTTATTGTAATTATGGGTATGTTTTATGTGGCATTCTTGGTTACCTAATATTGCTCAATCAAATTTCACTAATGTATGTATGCATAGAAGGAGGTGAATAGGATAGAATAAAAATGGAGAAAATTTTCCAAGAATATTAGGTTTCTTTCAGTTAAGTCTTGAAGGTATGTGGCAAACAAATCTGGATACTTTCTTTGTGACTACAGGACATCATTCCTGGAGCCTACTCTTTTTTTTCTTTGTTTTCTTATTCTAATCCTTTAAGAAGGTATCCAATCAAAACAGAAAACAAAATCTAATGTACATCTCACAATTTCTGAATTTCATGGCATGGACTTTCAGAGGATTCAGAACTGCACTATGTCTTATTTGGATTGCTCCTGTCATTGTAGTTGGAAACTTGCTCATCTTTCTGGCCTCAGCTATGACTCCCTGCTCCACATCACCATGTCCTTGTTTCTCTCAAACCTGTCCTCACTGGACATCGGTTTCATATCTATCCTGGTTCCAAAGATAATTGTGCTCATCTCTGTGTTCAGGGATTTTTATACACACACACATTCTGCTCTGTAGTAGATGATGTAAAAGTGTTGTAGACTTTCATTCTCTTCTTCTGTCTGAACTACTATGAGGAAGTTCCTAGAGAAATGGAGAATATTGATTAATAACAGATGTGTTAATAACTTAGGTGTTTTAGGTCACCAAATTCATCTGACCTTCAATAATCAGTCCTTATGGCCAGATATTCAGGCCAATGGTTCTAGACCAGTGGGTCCATATTTGCTTCTTCTTTTCCCATTTATAGGCTGCACAAAGCTATAATCTGAAATGGTCTACCCATCAATCCTGAAGGTGGAGCCTTAGTTTTCATTAATCACTGATTTGGGTGCAAGTTTGCACAATCCAGCAGAAGTGAAGCTCTCACCAGAAACAGTTGAGGGGCATGGAGGAGGAAGTATTATAGAGAAAATTGTTCCCACTTGTCAGTACAAGCACAACAACATGCATAGTCAGATGATAGGATACTTAAGTACATATATAACATATCAGGGCTTTTGTGGTGATATTGGTTGTGATGGAAATTAAGAAATCTCATACAAAATGTTTTGGCCTCCTATACCTGTTCTATTTTGCATTGACATTTTATTTGTGAGAATGTATGTCCTTCCTATTGATTTCCTAAGTATTCAGGAAGAATTATGCGGGTGATGAGGAATGTGAAGAGGAGGGGATGACAGCACCCATAACATTGTGGGGTATTTCTAAGGGATTTATGAATGGTAGTCAATGAGGTATTCTACATACTTTTTTAAAAAAGTTTCCTCTGCATAACACTCCCCTAGTTACAACTTTGAAATTTTAATTATGTTGGAGAAAAAGCAATATGAGAGCATTTTATGTATAATAAACTTGATTGTTAGGTTCAAAAGACTGAATCAATGTTTGAGTTTTTCTGTCTGAATAGAGACACATGGCATCATACCAGAATAATTGTCCCACTCAAAAATGTTCCCATGACTCCACAAATTGTTCCCCATTCCCAGATCTCTGGGGACTGCCTTGTATTCTTGGAGGAAGAAGTGAAAATGAATGCCCTCAAAGGCTATTTCTCTAGCCCATCACACCAGGAACGGTGTTTTTACTTGTTGCTCTTCCACTTTTAGGATCCTTGTAGATCACAGGGAAGCATCATGGTGAGCTCTGCTGAATCTTCTATAGGAAGGACAGTGACAGATCACAGGCAGACACTTCATAAAAGGTGGATGCATAATAATTTAGGACATGCTTCTTTCTTGACCACATCCAAAATACCACTGGGCTCTCCACATCGTCCTCTATTCTGAAATAATTATATAGTTCGACCAAGCAATCCTTGTAGTCTCTACTACAGCTGCATTCTTTCTGAGAATTCAGGAAAAAATTAAAATGGTTATCTCATTTGATCCTGAGAAAGACAACTTCATTTCTAGTCCTGATTGCTGCACTTATTCTTGATGTAACATAGGGAAGTTTGTTAGCATCTCTGAAACAAGTGTTTATATTTCTAGTTCATACAACTGCATTTAGTGTGGATTAAAACACAACTCATGAGGCTAAGGCAGGAGGATCTCTGTGAGTTTGAGACCAGCCTGGGCTACATAGTGAGTTCCAGGTCAGTCTCAACTATGTAGTGAGACCCTGTCTCAAAAAATCAAAAACAAACAACAACAACAACAACAAAAAACACAACTTGTGGCCACTATGTGATCAACATATTACGAATGCAGAAAATAAGTGAAAATAAGTCATTATTACTATTATTATTATTATTATTATTACTGCTAGTCATTATATAATTTGCCTTAAATACCCTGTGATCCCCAGGTCATTGTTTTCCTCATTCCCTAGCAGGTCACTTCATTTGTATTCTCCTATACATAAATCCTGAATATTTGGGGAGGAATGCCCAATTTGTTATTTAAATTTTGCCAGTGCTTATACCTTATGTCAGAGGATGCATTAACAATTAAAATATCAGTAGATTTTCTCTGGATTCATATCAATTATGCTGAGCTATGAATTCCCTAATTCTTGCCTATGTATTCCTCCTTGCCAGGATGTCTAGATGGAACAGAGATAAGGCACACTAGTTCTATTTGTATCTATGTCAGAAGGAAAAGAAGGAACTCATTATTTGGAAAATGAATAAAACATGTAATAGTTTCATAAATATAAAGGAAAATAGCATAGTTGTGGCAGGTATTCTTATTACTTTTGTTTCTAAATACTTTTTTCTTATTTGGTACTGGTGATAGAACTTGGGACCTTGCACTTCTGAGGCAGGCAGTGAAACTGCTGAGCTCAATCCCTGGCCCCTCCTTTTATTTTAGGATATCAAGTTCTTCAGCAAATATGAAATATCTACCGAGTTTTCTAAAATAATTTTATTGGTATGTTTGCCACACATAAAAATTGTTAAACATAAAGAATTGGAACACACATATTCAATCTTGATCTATTTTTTTACTTCCTATTTCTTTACCATCTCTCAGCCTCTCGAACCCCAATCTTCACATTCTCTTTCATTCTCCACAAAGTTTATCTCCCTGTTTCCTGTCGCCTGTTTTTCATTATTCTCTTCAAATTATTTACATGTGGCTTTTTTAATATCAGAAAAACGATTGATATTTACACTTGTGTATCTGATTTATTGCACTTAAAATTAAGTTCTGAATGAGCATCCACTTCTAAAAGAAAATAACTCTTATTTATCTTTATGCATGGCAGAGAACTACTCCAGTGTGTATATATACCACATTTTCTTAACTAATTCATGTGTTAATTGGCATATAAGGAGCTTTTAGGATTTAAATAATATGCTTTTTTTGCTATAAATATGGCTGTGCTTCATTCAATGCTTTACACTTCTTTTGGGAAAAGTTTTCAATTAGCAATAATAGCCACTCAGATAAACCTCACTGGCTATGATACTGCCACTGTGCAAAGCTTACAGTTCTTTTGAGGAGACACTTAGAGAAAGCAGAACCAGTTCAAATGGAATTTGTATATTTTGATTTTTGTGAAATCTCCACTATTACTGGTGCCAGGTACCACAACAGCAGCAGAACTTTGCTGTTTTCTGGATATTATTCTTTTCTTTGCTTTTTGTTTTTTTGTGTTTTTGTTTTGTTTTGTTTTGTTTTAATGGAATGTGCTGAATTTCTATAATTTTGTTCAGATGGCTGCAGAACCTGGAAAAGCTGTTGCTGCTATCGATGCATAACATACTATTATTAATCTTTTTATATAAATATATATATATATATACATACATACATACATATGTGTGTGTGTGTATATGCATAGCCTGAAGGTAATTTTATACAAAATTTAAGTGTAGTTGCATTTTTTTAACGGTGCAGCCTACTTTGGAAAAAGTCATCCCAATTTACTGTGTTGAGTTGGCATTGTACAGAAATGGACAGACATATTGGTCTAGAAATGTTAATTTTTTAATTTATTTTTTATTTTTTTTCCATGTGTACAGGGGTAACATATACTAAATATGTAAGGTCATATCTACTTGGGTTTGATTACAGAAACTAATAAAGTATTCTCTAGATAATGAAAAAAAAAGAATAAGATAAGACTATAAGAGCAAGAAGCAATTTAAATATGTTCAGGGAACATTTTCATCTCCAGAATTAAGGATTATTTTAATGTTACATCATTGCCTTTTCTCTTTTACTTTCCTTTTTAGTTTTATTTTAGGATTCCCTATTTTTAACTTTCATACAGAGATTTCTTTAACTGAAATACCGAATAGTTTCTTTGGTGTGAAAAACTCTATTAGTACACAGGATCCTAATTAGATAATTAATAATGTGAAATAGGAAGTAAAGGACTAAAGGTGTAGGGAAAGTGGGAAGGGTGGGGGAAAGGTAATATGGGAGAGGAAAAAAAATATGAAAAACTAAAAAAATGGAAATAAAGTGTTTGTAAATGGGGAGGGGAGGAGAGGGTTAAGGGAGGGCAGGGACAAGGGGAAAAATGAGAACAAGACCTATTATGTAAAGGTACAGAATCCCAATGATGAATGTAACTGTATTGTATACCTAGATTGTACAAATAATGTCAATAAAAAGAAAAAGAAAAAAGAAAACTCCACCATTATCAGTGGATCAGAAATCAATAATAATAAATTAGATTATACTGTTACATATAAGAAAATCTACATAGCAACAATTAAAATGGAGGGGTGGAGAAACGGCAACATGTAAGAAGGTAGAAAAATTGAAAAACACAGAAGGATAAAAGGAAGAAGTGTGAAAATGAGATAAAATATAACTAAAGAATAAAGGAAAATAATAAAAGTAACAGACCAAACATAAGGAAAAGAAAAAAAAAACTAAGGAAGAAAAAATATAAAAAAGAGCAAAAGAAACCAAAAAGCAAAGCAAAGTAAAACAAAACAAACAACAACAAACCCAAGCAAAGTGAGATGCGTGTCGATAAAAATTGTTCTACCCTAAGTATGTGGCAAATAGCTTGTATGTGGCCGTGGTAGAATTAGAATCCACCACAGTCTCAATCAATAAACCTCTTCTCAAAGCAGCTCCTCATTATAGCACTTCCAGATCTGTTAGGGCCTGTGGTGGATTCTTCTGCAACTGAGGTATGGAATGAGTAATTTTCAGAGAGAAACAGCATGCTGCATCATAGCTCACAATATCTGTGGGCTCATCTTGGGGTAGTGCTGCTGACCCCTTGTTTATCCCTGGCCTATTAGTGCTCTCCAGGCTTTCCTTGTTTTTTTGAAGGCAGATTCCTGTCTGTGTAGCAAGGCTTGGCTTTCCAGACTGCTTCTTTCTTTTTTCAGCATTTACTTCAGTTTTTTCTATGATCTCTAATTTGCAGTGCTTCTCTTTCTTGATTCCTGAAACTCTTCTCTTTCTGTTTTCTGCGCTTTGATTTCCAAGTATCTGAACTCAGGTCCTGCAGAGAATGATATCCTGCTTTTACTCCATTATTTTTAACTCTCTGCGCTCTGCTGATTTTAGACAGGGGATCATAATAGCATTCATGAGTAAACCAGCTCTTCCTGTAATGAATGTATTCTTTATTAAAAGTAACATATTTTATGAAGTTTCAAACTTCCATGAGTTGTTACATAAATCCTAGATATTAGGTTATTCTTCCCCTTTCTCTCAAAAATATGAGCAGGAAGAGAGAGAGAAATTTACACATGATCGGTGTGAAAAAGCAGGAAACACCAGGGCACAGATACTGATCATCTTATTTCAATACTAGGGTGTTTATTTTCCCAGAGGAGGCAAATATTTCCTTGTTTTCTATACTAGATGAAGAAATTTCTTTAAATATGGCACAAACTTTTAAAATTAATTTTTAGACTGATGAGTGCATGCAGACACAAATCCAGCCAGACAACAGCTGCTCAGACATACTGTCCCAAGCCAAATGCCTTCCAGGCACAAAAGCTTGGACATTCAGGCCACAGGGAAAACAGCTACTCAGGTGTGCAGACCCTAGCCAGAAGCCTTCCCAGAGAAAACCAGTGTGGGTGTGCAGGCACCAGAAAGGACCTGGCCCAGAGAACAGGGACTTGTGTTCATAGCCCTCAGACAAAAGACTCCTAGACAATAGCTCTGCACAAACTAAGAGAGCAAAGAGTATCTTCAGCATAAGTGCAGTACACAGATCCCATTGAAATGAGAAGATGACTAAGCAACTCTCAAAACCAGACTTCCAGATCATGAATGACAACTTTAGGGAACAATAAAATGGAATAATCTGAAACTCAGCAACCTGCACTACCTGAACTAGCAATGAAAGAGGATCTGGAAAAAATTAAATCAGAAGGAATTTCACAGATAACAGCAGAGATTGTGTCCATAGTGAAAGACATGATTAATAAATCTAAAGCAGACATAAATAAAAAAATTAGATAAGCTGAGGAATATGACATAATCCAAACATAGGAAACAAATGGAATTAATAAATCAGATGCAAACAGATATTCAGCAGATTAAATACTCTATTGTTAATTTATGCAAAGGAATGAGCCAATGTGAGGAGAGAATGTCAGATATAAAAGACAGGATTGCAATTAGTGACCATGAAAATAAACTTTTTAAAAAAATAGCAAGAGACCATGCAGAATCAATCCAGCAGCTGCTAGATGATGTAAAGAAGTCAATGAAGAAAGAGAAGATAGTGCAAATGACATTTAAAAAATGTTCAAAGAAGTGTTACAAGAAAACTTCTCAAATAGGGGAAAATAATTTGACATGTGGATAAATGAGGCATATAAAACTCCAAATTTACACATAACCATATAATAGTCAATATTTAAGAAATGCAACAGGAGAATAAAATACTACAAGCATTTAGAGAAAAGAAACAAATCACATCTTTAGCTCCTTTCTTCCTATTTCACATTGTCCATTATATCATTAGGATCTTATATACTATTATAGGGGCTAAAGGTGTAGGGCAAGTGGGAAGTGTAGGGGAGAGCTAATAAGGGAAAAGAAAACAATATGAGAAAATGAAGAAATGGAAATGAAATGTTTGTAAAGGGGGAGGGAGGAGGAGTGAAAGGAGGGTAGGGACAAGTGTTAAAAAAATGAGAACCAAGACCTGTCACATAAAGCTACAAGATCCCAATAATGAATGTAACTGTACTGTACACTTAAAGCATACCAATAAACTCAATGAGAAAAAAAAATAAACAAATCACATACAAAGAAAAGCCCATTAAAATCACAGCACACTACTCAACAGAAACCCTCAAGTCAAATGAAGGCTGGAGTGAAGTTTCAAGCTCTAAAAGAAAACAACATCCAACCTAGAATGATGTACCCTGAAAAACGAACTTTCCAAATTGATAGAGAAATATGATACTTTAATGAAAAGCAACACATGAGGAACTTCTTGAATACCAAACAAGCACTCCAAAAACTTTTCATACAATATCATAGGAGAAGAAAATGAGAGTTCCAAACTCACAAGTCCCAGCAGAATGAATTCCTCAGGCAAGACAAGAAATTAAAAGCTAAGAGGGAGAATCCTACAACAGGAAAATGTCGTGGTAAGGTTTAGTCAATAGATATGTTATAACCTTCAATGTTAATGGTTTCCATTCACCAATCAAAAGTAACAGATTGGCAGAATCGGTCAAGAAGCAAGATCCAACAATATGCTGCATATAAGAAACAGATTTACTTCAAAATTAAACTCATAGACTAAGAGTTAAAGGGTGGAAAGCCATACTCAATTTGACAGGAATGTCCCAAAAAGCAACAGTTGCTATTCTATTTGCAGATAAAATGGATTTCATACGAACACTAATTAAGACAGAGAAAAAAGTTCACTATATACTTATAAAGAGAATAACCCAAGGGGAAGAGATGACAATCATAAATATGTAAGTACCAAATACTACTGCACCCAACAATATAAAACAAATATTAGCAAACATGAAAAATTGAATAAGAACAAGTACAATGGTAGTGAGAGGCCGAAATAGGCCTCTATCATGAATAGATCAACTAGACAAAAAATAAACAATGAAATAATAGAATTCAACTAATTTCTTGAACAAATATGCTTAGCAGATATTTGCAAAGTGTTCCTTAAAAGAAAATCAGAATACAGTCTGGGTGTGGTGGCACACACCTGTAATCTCAGCACTTGGGAGGCTGAGGATCACTGTGAATCTGAGGCCAGACTGGGCTACATAGTGAGTTCCAGCTCGGTCTCAACTATGCAGTGAGACCCTGTCTGAAAAAAACAAAAAAAAAACAAACAAAAAAAATCAGAATACACCTTCTTTTTAGCTGCACACATCTATCTGCTCATAGAACATGTTTAATAAAGTGAAAAAAATTGAAATGGTCCCCTGCATATTATCAGATCATAATTAAATGAAATTTGCAATAAATAGCAAAAGAAACCTCAAGAATTTCATAAACACACAAAAATCGAA